TTTAGGTAAAAATAAAATCATGATTTAAAAGTAGTTTTTACAGCATATGAAAATAAATAGTGGAGGAGTTTTGTTTCAATTGCGAAAAAATATTCTCCTGAAAAGTATTTTAGGATTAGTCAAACACCCCTTATCTTTAATTGTATAGAATATTGATAATGTTTAGTAGCAGATCATGAATGGAGAGGCACGATATATCGCGCAAGGGAATTGCGTTATATCGTATCGTAGTAGATTCGTATTCGTATGGTTGGTGGGAATTGCATTATGATTAACCCATAATTGGAGTAGGCTGGGGGTGGGGGGTGGTGAAGGGTGGTCCCTACATGAACAGGGAAACTCCATCTGGAACCAATGGTGGTCCCCCACGTACCCCACCTGTGAAGACAACCCTGGAGTCCACGTGCTGTTGTCTCTGCGGGGATTGGCCCCACAATGAATCCATCGTACCAAAGAGCATTAAATGGGATCACGTGGCAAGGCTGCAGCGTACGATGCAAGGAGGATCTGAGCCGTCGGATGTTCGTCTGGGGGTTTGACTCTGAAGTTAATGGGCATAGGTGTAATATTTATTTTATATTTATTATTTATGGGCAATGAGGGGGGGAGTGGTACTACTGGCTAACTGGGTACTGGCTGGCTATGAGAAAAGAAAAAGAAATTAAATGTGAGATTGTGAAATATGTGAGGGGGTTGGTTGGAAGAGGAGTAATGGAGTGTGTATTGGTAATTGGTAATTTCTGCTCCTCGTTAATCGGGCTGTGTTTCTCGGTCCCCGATCCTACGCTCCCGCTGACACCGACATGTCCGGGGTCTACATCATCCTCGCATCACCACCGTCCGATCACTCCCTCTGGACGGTTGCGATCTCATGATTCCCTATTCGCCGTCTTTCGCATGACGTGTTTCACGGAAGACACTGTTGATGGTCACAGCTATTACCATGGATAGATGCATAGATTGGCGGGGGGCCAAGCCAAATCCATCCCCAAACCAAAAACGAAAAAAACTTGTACCAAAAAAAAACAAAAAACGACACCGTGGGACCCTCCCATTTTCCTCCAAATTATTAATATTATTAATTATTGAAAATGAGGGAACTCTGAACAAACTCTCCGAAAAAATGTTTTACTCTAGAATCAAGATTATATCTTACTTTTGGTAAAAAAAAAAATTATGTTGTACTACCCTGGGAGTTTTAGTTTTAATTTGAATATTTTTTCTAAACTTAACTGTTGAACAGTATTTTTATACAAGCTCTCGCTTAAGGCTTGAGATTAAACACGTCAAAAAAAAATTTCAGAACGGACGAGTGTGTACTCCATGCATTTATTGACGGACATTATGGAAATTGAAAAATCAATGTTTACTATACATCATATATTTATTGTTGTAACAAACATTCTACATTATTTCATGAATTGTGGGTGGTTGGAGGGCTGATGAGTTATAACGGGTAAAAAAGCAGAAGAAACAGGAGGTTTTTTTTGGACAAAAAAATTAAAAAGAAGAAGAAAACAGGAGTATGCTGTGTGCATGAACTGAAAAGGAAAAAGTAATTGTAATTGTTATTTAAAAGCAATGCTTACACTGTCTATCCGGAACAGAATAAATTATTGGAGTATAATTTTTTTTGAAATTAATTGAATTTTTCTCAAATCTCTTATTTTGAAACCTACAGTCCAGTCATATTCAATTTATGCACTTGATAAAGTCGATTTTTTAACTTATTTCTAAATAAAATTCTTAATTTAACATCAACTTGTTACTATCATCCTACATCCAGTTTTATTTATAAGCTTTAAATTTAAATAAATAATGATTCATTTTATAAATTTTAATTTGAATTTATGTCAACATTTAATATAATAATTTTTTCTAATTGTCTTTTATTTTTTATTTTCTCTCTTTTTCGTCTCACTCTCTTTCACTACATTTATATATATTCATTATTTTCTTATTTATTATAAAGACATTTAAAATTAGAAATATACTTATTTATTATTTTAAACTAATTTTAATTGATATCACACCATACGTGCAAATCGATTGTTATAAGCTTATATAATAATCACAACAGAGGAAGTGACAAAATGAGGTTATGATTTTATAATGCTATCTAAAGAATTACAGTAAGTTTTTAATTAAAAAATAGGCTAATAAATAAGCAAGGCACCATAAATAGAGAGAGGAGAGAGAGAGAGAGAGAGAGAGAGATAGTGAGGACGTGATTGAGCACGTTGGCCGTGCGGGCAAGGAGTGGTACAGAGGAGTTTGAAAGTAGGAATTGCAAAAAGCTCAAAATAATAAGGTAATGATGATAGAATCGCATTCAAAGCCGTGACAGGGTTTTGTCTCGTGTCAAGTTCTCCTTTTTATATTTTTTTCCCTTGAAAATACCCTTTTTGTCTCCTTCTTCCTCTTCCTTCTCTTTGACTGTTGCCAGCAGGTCACAGGGCGTAGGGTTACCGGCACCACCAGGTCAGCAGCAGCACAAAGCTTTCCGGAATTCAAATAAACAAATCACCGCATTTGTTACATTGTGTGCATAATAAGTATTTATATATTGATATTAGTGGGGTCTCTTAAAACTCAACTCTCACTGAGGTCAGGTCATCAAGTACGATGCTTTGGGTTTATGTTCTTGGTTAAAATGCCGTTTTGCATAAGCTAATTTTAGGAACATCTGAACGGTAAAAGCCTACAAGAAAGAAGCCCACCATTAGTAGTGAGTGAGTCAGTGCGCTCTCTCTCTCTCTCTCTCACTCTGTCTCACCCTAGCTATATATAAGAAGGTACATTGTGGGTTAGGGTTATGGTGTAAACTATTCTGAGTAGAGAAAATAGGTGTGTTCTTGTTTGTGTGGTTGAGGGGAATGTTGGCTGGCTCGAGGCTTTTCCACAAAGGAGGTTCTCTCTCAGAAGAACTATTAAGGCTTCGGACCAGGCTTCATTCCCCTCAAATTTTTGCTCTCCCTTTCTGGGTTTCTTCACTCCTCGTTCTCCTCCAGAGCGATTTCTGAGTTTGAATACTAACACATGCTACCTATGGATTAATGGCTCTCCGATCCATCGCAAAGGTTAGGTTGAGAGGAATGTTGTCTGGCTCGAGGTCATGAACAGGAGTTGATTCTCTTGCAGTGATTGCTCTTAGATCACTCTCTTAAGGGTTCTCTGCAAATTTAGTAACCCTAAAGTGATTCTCGGACCAGGCTTCATTCCCCCCAGCCAACTTTTGCTTCTTTTGCCATCTTCACTGCTTAATTCTACTTCTGAACGCTCATTCCTCTTCATCTTCTTCACATGTATATTCGTTCCTGGTAAGGCTTTTTCCCACAGTTCCCGTGTGTTATATACGAGTATTTGCTATGTTGATACAGTTAACCATTCTAGTTTTGCATACTGCTTAATTAAAACATCAGATCATGCCAAACAACAAGGCTCTCCTACTCCTGGCTGTGGATTGCAAGGTCAGAATTATATGCACAACCATCACTCACATCAGTTATATATGCATTTTATAAACTTGCTTGGTGTGATTAGATATTCATGTTTTTGAAGATTTTCACTTGACCAGCTTCAGTTTGTGAATTGTTGCCTCGGTTTTTAAAATGTAAGCAAATTTTAACAAACTCACGCACAGTTTAAGAAAGTGAGAGTAGAATAGAACTGCTTTCCCCTCCCTCAGCTCTCTCTCTCACACACGATCACACACAAAGACAAAGATATGGTCACCCGCAAGAGCCACCACTAAAAAGTCTAGGATTCTGTTGTTAATATATCAAACCAAATATTTAATGGACACAGTGAATGTATTAATGTGTTGTTATTAATTTATTGGCAAAATTAATCACCATCGAATGTTCACTTCACGTGGACAAGATAGGTGAAATAATGTACTGTGTAAATCTATCATCAGATGGATGGATGGATGTGAAATTCTTTACTTAAGTCTACTTAGCTAACTAGGTTCTACTACTATTATAGCTCAGTTGCCTTCTAGGTTTCGAAATATATTATCCTCCTTCTTTCTGAATCTCTTTCAGCTTTTTGGAAGTAACCCCCCTTTTAGCCAAAAATGTAAATATTTGCAGAAACCTCGCAAATCACCCTGAAATGAAGCATCAATTTCATGAATCTGAATATCCTACAGGTAAATCTACAGTTTCCCTGTAAAGGCAGTAATAACCTTATTAGGAAGCTTCACTCTCACCTGGGCTTTTAATATCCCATAATTTTCCGTGGAACACTTATTACTGTTCATATTATTTTGACGTAATCTGCTTTATAATCAACTTTTAAATGTTGCTTGCTTTGCTTGCTGCTGAATTTATTGCCTTTTTGTTTTGTAGTGAGATGCCCTTCATTATTGAAGACGCTAGTCGGTGAAGAAGCTGCTGTATTCTGAGGCATGATAAGGCACATGTATATCTCAATCAACAGGAGTGAATAAAGATGAATCACATACTACATTATCACTCTCTATAATTGTATCATATTGTTTCTTCTTTTTTTTTTCCTTCAATCAGATGTAATTTAAAGGTCCCAAAAGCGACAAATAATAAAATGTTCCATATATGCTGGCCACAAGCAATTTCAAATTCAAATCTTCTTCATGTAAACTAGACCAAAAATAGTATTCTGATGTGTCTACCCAAGAAAAAATAGTGTTCTGATCTGATATACTAATGCCTTTCAATTGTTCATTTATATTAAAAAAATAGAAGGGTGTTATTAAATAAAAATAATGTTAGTATATTATTTTTACCAGAGAATAAAAACGAAAAAGTATTGTAATTAAGTGATACTTGGGAATCCCAATCCCAAGGGTTGGTGAGAACTGAGAAGCTGCTGAGATCTCTGTGAATGAATGATCAATAAATTAAAAAGGAGTGAAGATGCCATGGAAAGAGATGTGCTGGAACAGTTAGCGAGAAATGTATAAAACTGGAGAAGCTAGCTAGGGATTCTCTTACACCATGCAGCTTCCATTATCATTACGACCCGCATATATATCTGCAACACAAGCTGATGCAAACTAAACCTGGAAAACTGAGAAAGAAATAAGAACAAAAAAAAAGTTGTGTGTTTTAGTGTAACATATTTATGAGGCTTTCAAAGTTGTTGAAAAATCAGAAGCCATGTTTGGAAAAGGCTGGTATCAGCAATAGCAGCTTCTTCTTTCTTCTTTCTTTTTCTTCTTCGTTACCGTGGAGTCATAGTTTGTATGCAGAGAAAGGTGTGTTTTTTTAGAGAGGTTTTGAAAAGGGAAAACATGACAGAATGAGGAGTAGTGAGTGAGTAAATTAATGACGAGCGTCTGACGCGTCTTGGGAAATGAAACGAAGAAGAAAGAGAAAAGGGTGTATTACTATTAAAGAAGGCAAAGCAAACAATATTGCCTTTATGTGCGTTGACAGCTTCTTCCTCAATTTCCATTCAACCAATATCTCTCTCTCTCTCTAAAAACAGGTTTTCAATTTCCACTGGCTTGCTAGCCACTCAACTTTTCTGCATCATACAAGTACACGTACCCTAACACTAGTAATAAATCTCTATATTGTGAAATTAGAATCAGAGTTCTTGAACAAAATGTGTACCTTTTTACTACTTTCTTTTAATAAGATTTGTCTTCTATTTTTTTATAAAAAAAAAGTTCTTGAACAAATCGTACTGTTTAACTCTTATCTCATATATAAGCAACAATAGCTATTTCATAATATTTAAAATAAATTAATTATTTTTTTAATTCGGATTGATTATGTTCTGAAGTGTCCCTATTATATGAGTCGTAAAAGACAGTAGATTAAAGTTATGTACATAGATTTAAAAAGTCGTCATATAACACGCAAACTCCTAATAGTATTTAACTTAAACATCCCTTTATTAGTATGTTATCGTTTTGTTATCTCTAAGCAAATATTTGGACTTCAACTGTCCTTATTTTCATCAATAAAAAGTAAAATGGCATAAAAATAAAAATAAATTTTCAAACTTTAATGGTAAAAATATTTAATTATTTTCAACTAATATGTTGATGAGAAAATCCTAACCGTTAACTTAAAATGTTATGAAGCCCAAAAAACTTAAAATGTTAAAAATTAACCTTTTTAAAAATCATAAAATGAAGTTATCATTAGTATTTAATCAAACTATATATCATTTATGTTATTTAAATGGTAATTATAATTTTACAACTGTGGTATAATAGTAATTTAAATTTATTATTACCAAATGAAAACGTTCCATAATAGTTAAAAGATTATAATGTATATTTTAGTTATTTAGTTTTGTCCTTAAAAAATTTAATTTTTAAATTCTTAATTATTTAAATTATTATATTATTTCACACATTTGTATTTATCCATCCAATTAATTTTCCACCAATTTTGTTGATTAAGATGTGATTTTTTTTTGGGGAAAAAAAAGAACTTTCTTTCGGTTTCGAGTAAGCTACTAATATGCAATATCAACTTTTTCAAATTTAATCTGACAATGCGATGAAAAGTGGGATGAAATGGGTTGAAAAGGCAGTAAAAAGAAGCCGAGTCCCCTTTTCAAAACCTAGACAGTTAGTTCCCTTTGGTGCAGTGTTTTTTAGCTTTTGATATGGAAAAGCATACTAGTTCTTGGAAAGGAAATATCTAGTCATGTTTTAAAAAACCTATCCTAATTCAAAATATAAGTCATGTTTAGATGTTGGTCAACGTTCACCCTATAAATGATTTTTATTTATATCGTTCAATTTTGGGGCGCTGTCCCCCCCCCCCTCTCTCTCTCTCTCTCTCTCGGTGAGAATAATTTATTTTTGTTGGTAGAAATTTTTCGGCACCTTCATCGACTAGGTTTCTAGGCTTCATCCCTGTTATCTCTCCGGTGTGTGTGTGTGTTGTTGGGGGTTAGGTTTTCTTTTTGGATATGTGAATTTGTGGCGTGGATGGATCTGTGGGTCGGCAATTAAGGGGAAAATGGGAGGATTTAGAAAGGCAAGTTTGAAAGCTTCAATAATGCTATGCATGAAACACTGCTAGTGAAAGTGAATCTCAATAAGTTTCAAGACTTCTCCCAATCGTTCTCGATCTAGCTGGTAGCCGACATGCTATTGTTACCACTCCTGGGGCCCTTCACCTTGTGTCAATGGTCGTGTGGTTCTTTTGAGGATTAGCAGTTATGTCACTACTAAAAGAGACAAAACCAATGGGATGGTTCATTGAATCCTTATATCCATTGTTTTCACGCGTGTTTACTGGAGTTTTCTTCGTTTATTTTCAGTGTGTGTACAAAAGTAATTTTTTGTCGATTCTAGTACCAACATGGTTTCCTATTTGCTTATTTTCATTAGGGTTTATGTTGGCTTTGTCGTTTTTCCTTTAATTTGCATAATTTAAAATTAGGGTTTCAAGTTATTTGGGTCACCACCTTTCTTATATTTGGTGGACTTGTTGTGATCTTGTTTCTTTCATAAAAGTAATTGTTTTTGGCAAAGATATAAATGATTTCTATAATTCCTGCTTCACTTTGGCTTCAACTGAGAGTGAGAGATGTATAATTCATTTCATTACTGAAACATAAACTTACTTGTTAGAGAGGAGGGAGTACATTTCTCAGAGGTTAATACATACATGGACATGTTTATAAATGATCCAAACCAAAACCAAGGATTATGCATATTTGATATTTCACTCTTCACTTTGTCAGTATGTTTGAAATTACTTATAAGTATGTTTTATATAAGTCGAGATAAAACTCATCTTATATACTTATTTTATATTTTATAAATTATAATTGAAAAGTTGCTTATAAATCATTCAAGTTTTTTTTTTTTGCACTCTGTCTCCCTCTTCAAAGTATAGAACAGAACGTCTGGCTTGGAAAGTAAATGGCAAGGGAAATTATAACAGTTGATATATATATATATATATATATATATATAATATTTGAAGTCGTTATGAGAGATGGATTGAGTCAAAGTTAAAAAGAGGATGTGAAAAAAGCAAAAAGGTAATGTCAGATGGTAGGGAGAAGCACGACACTGCTAAAAACTGAGTTAATGGTGATGTGTTCCTAGTAGCAGCCTATTAGTAGTGTTAGGTTACTCCCCCTCTTTTTTTTTTCATTTCTTAATTTGTCACTGAAATTGAAGCTCCGACGGATCGGAGGCGCCACCATGCTTGTTACGTCCACTGTAGCCCACTTTTTTAATGAAATTTCATGACGTTATTGTTAATTATAAGAAATTTTTTAATTTTACCATCATAAACAAAAGGTAAAAAGAAAAGAAGGCAAAGCTATATTCTGTAATACTCAATACTATAAATTTTTTGAACCGTGACTAACCCGAATTAAATCAAATAGAGTTTTTACCAACAACAACCTCCTAACAATTACTCTCTTTTTATTCCTATTTATAAGTTTTAAATTTAACACAATTCTATAGATTTTATTATTAAGTGTTTATTTGAAACAGTGGTAGGATTTTTTAAAAGATATATTTTTAATTGTAATTTACAAAATGCAAAATAAATAAGTAAGGAACATTTTGCCTCGGTTTACATGAGCATTATTATAAGCAATTATTATCACTTGTTTAACCCCTCCTTCTTATTTACTTGCTTTGCTACTACTGTGGTTTTGGGTAAAAGATACAGTATAAATTTTTTTAAAAAAAAATGTTGACTCGGTTCATGTCTTTTCATGCATATATTTTTATTTTTATTTTTATTCTCAGCATTAATGCTATTTGCTATACAATCAGTCTTACCTCTACCTTTTTTAAAAAAAAAAAATCATTTTACTACTATATTTATGTGCTCATAAGTCTTCCTGTTACTTGCACCTTTTCGTCTAACGTTCAAAGTCGATCTCCCCATCTGCTCTTTCGCTGTCCTCATCTCTCTCACTGTTTTCGCACAGTAAGCTGCGTTTGTGTGGTATGAATGTCCAGCGGGCAATAATAATATCTGCAGGTATGGGTTTAGGGTTATTGCATCGAATGTATTGACATTTGACACTACATTATGGCTGGCTCAGTTCAGTGACACCCATGAACTCTGTTTATTTCTGCCCAGACAAACAGCCCCCGGCCCCTTTTACATATATATATATATATATGTATGTATGTATATATTACATGAAAAGTTTTTTATATCTATATTAAGTTTTTTTATTACATATACTATACGTCCTTTTTTTTAAATGTAAATTCATAGTTTAACAATAATATTTAAAAAATATGACATATGATCATACGTGATTGAAGAACTTAATTTAATAAATAGAAAAAAAATTGAGTACATATTATCCTATATTATATATATACATACATGCGTATTCCTATAATATTATTTCTGATATATTTAACAGGAATTAAAACATTTTAATTCCAAGTTAAAATAAAAATTTAATAATATGACTTGTAAATATGACAAATACGACAGAAATACGATTATTTATCTGCCTTATGATACATGTCTAAAAGAATTGGTAACTTCAAGGTCAGTTGATCATCTATGGTGATACTTGTATGACTAAGTATTGTCATTACCATACACCTTTTTTCCCAAGTAGTTTAACGGAAGATTTGTGGATACAAACATAGCAACTAACTAGCTAATGATTTCGTTGGAATTGCAGGTTCTGGTTCCCCCCCCCCCATTTTTCTCTCT